TCTCACATAGTATCAAAGCCAAATTCATCTTAGCGGGGTCAATTTCTCATCCCTGATGCATTGTTACCAATTTTCCAGACGATTCTGTTGGTGCAACTTCTGTCGATTCGTGTTTTGATTTGCTGCTGAGTTGTGTTTCAACTTGATGCTGAGTCGTGTTTCGACTCTTTGATCTGTCATCTCAGCCGAGTCGTGTTTCAACTCGCTGATGTGTCCTCTCTGCTGAGTCGTGTTTCGACTCTCTGATCAGTCTTCATGCCGAGTCATATTTTGACTCTCTTATTTGTTTGATCTTTTCCAATAGTTCCTGAAGCCATATGTTCTCGAGGCTTGTTGATTCGCCACTGCTTTTCATGCTTATTGATCAAGCAATCTGCGTATGCACTTGAAGATCCAATTGCTCGTTTCCGCGACTTGGTGTTCAAACTCCTGCTGTTTTCTTTCATAGCATCTTGAGTTTGAGGGGGAGTGTGAAAGGAAAGTATATATTATATATTCGCTTGATATGAAAGGTGTATATTGTAATCAATAAATATGGAAAGGGTAGAATATTATGTCCTGTATTTTATAGTAAGTCTGTGTCACACCCCAAGAATTTACAGTACTGTTATTCTTGAGATGTGACAGACAAAACATATATACATCTATTGATAGGACAAATTTACAGTGGCGAGGTCTTACAAAGTAAATAAAGAAAGCTAGTACAACAACAATATCTTCCAAGGTTGATCTTGACTATCACTCAAAATGAATCCGCAGTTATCCTGAAAAAATGTTTACCATAGTTTGATGAGTTTGGCTACTCAGTAAGTGATCATCATAATCCTAAAAATAATCATGATTGAAAGATATCAATATTTTCCAAAATGAGATCTATTAACGGAAATGCATCAACAGTTTTACTTTCAATAAATGCATAATTAAGTATAATCCGAATAATTGAAATGTTTATAACACTTTTAACGGCAGTACATAATTCAAAGGATTTCACAAAATACCCTACTGGCGTCCCAAGTAGGTCTCCTATATACCCCATCAGCGTCCTGATGGGTCCACTTAATCCCTAGCGGCGTCCCAGATAGGTCCACTTAATCCCTGTAGGTCCACTTATACCTCACCGGCGTACCGGATGAGTCCACTTAAACCCTACCGGCGTCCCGGATAGGTCCACTTATACCTCACCGGTGAACCGGATGAGTCCACTTGCATACTTAAATTATTTCTAAATCTCTTTAAACATTCGAAAGCAGCAATATCATGTACTCAACATATCACTGAAACCATTAATATGAATTTCACTTAAACCATTAATAACAGTCACTCTCTATAACATTTCAAAAATAACCAATCAAATATTTTGGGCTCAAATTTAGAAAGGTAGCAGTTTGTAAAGGCATTCTAGCATAATTGCCAATTTAATATGTATAGAAAAACTCTTATAAAAATTCAAGAATACAGAATTATCACAATTTATGGAATATCAATTCACAAATAAACATTTTACAACAATACTATAATCAATTACAAAAATGTCAATTTTTTAAATAATACGGCAGTCATTTGCACATGAATTTTTCAATGTCTAAATATTTAAAACAGTAGAAAGAAATATCACAATTTTACTAAAAGCAGAATTATCACAATTT